AGAATAGTGACAGATCACTCAGGGAAACAAATGAATCAGGTTGATAATCTGCTGAAATACTGCTTCTTTTTCCTTGCAGATAGTTACTAAAAAAAAGTAATTCCATTATAGTCCTTAATGCAATTACTCATGTGGATATGGTTTACATGAATAAAGACTACCTATGTGCCTACTTTGAAAGACTGGGTTACTATAGTATTTCATATGGAACATCTTCAAATTATACCCAAGATCACAAAAAGGCAAAAGTTTGTGTAATATTAGATGTAATATGGATTGAAACTCATGGTTTAGAGTAATTGCCAATCCTCTCCTTCTTGCTCATCTGCTGCTTCTTGTTTCAGCTAAAGCTTTGTTTTTGTGAAAAGCTTTAAAACTCACACAGACACAATGAGACAAAGCTTTGCACACTTTACATAGTCTCTCTGATCTTGGAGGAATTATCTGCAAGAGAATAAAATACATTTATTTCAGGTAGGAGTGCAGAGATGCAGTGCCTGTAAGCCAATGTACAAGCTGGTTTCCACAGCAGTAATCACGTATCTGCCTGCTCCTGCTGCTTCCTTATGGCTGAAGCTGGTTCTCACTAGTCTTTACACCCAGTTGTGAAGATAAGCCTGCAGAGAACTAACCCTGCCAAAAAAAAAAATCTTTTATATATATATATATATATATATAAATATATATATATTATTCTGCTGGTCTGTGTCTCTGGTTTACTGTCGTCACCATCAAATAAGAATGTTCATGTAAGCATGAAGAAGGGTGTGAAAAGGGACAAGGGATCTTTTTCTTCCAGTAGATGTTAGAGATTAAATGGGTTTAGCTGCATCACCCAGTTGTGATAGTGTCTTTGCAGAGAGCATATAATAGAGGCTTGTTGGTGTTTGGTTGATTGGGTTTTTTTTACTGTTTGTATGTAGCTACTGTAATCTAGTCCATGGCAACATGATTTCTTCTTCTTTCTTTCTTAATGGCCAGTGTATGTGTTAATGCATGGCCTGTGCAACTTACAAGAAAGAAAAGACTCAAATGGCTGAGAAGATGGGTATCAGAACTGAACACCAATGTTTAAGTGGTGGGGCTAGGAAATAACAATGATAGCAAACAATGGAATTCAGAAAACATTCATTGATTTAATGCTAGGTTTGTTCATAACTTAGAGCCAGATTCACCATGAAAATATGACTGAAATGTCATTCACCTGAAGGAAAAAAAAAAGTTGCCATGAAGGGACAAGAACAGGTAGAATTTGTATATATTTAAAGGTCTTTGCTGTGTATGTTTAAACATAGTCTTTAAGTGCAATTTTACGTAGACTGAAAAATAATAATTACTTAGCTTTATTTTTTTCCAGGATCACAATTATGAACATTTAAGTTTTTGCTGTACCACTAGCATACTGATTTATGGGGATAACTATTGATGATTTCACTACATGAAAAATGCTATAAAAGTGTCAGGTTAATTACAGGATATACCGTTAATGGGTGAGATACGGTTATGCCTGTTTTCCTAGTTATGCACTCATAATACAGTGTTACATCTTCTGGAACATAATATATACATATGTTATGTTATGCATAATCATCAGGAAAACTTCACAACCTATATACATAGATATTGCTTTCTGTAGTCCTTCACATGGGTTTCAGGAAGGATTACTTGCAATAGCAGAGCATGCAGGACTGAGTGTTTGCAGTGATTTTGAATAATGAATTTCTGTAGAATTCCAGAAATGTCATTTAGTTCCTCAAATGTTTTCTGCAGAGCAAGCAGCATACTTGGAAGACTGTACTAGGAGAAAAAGAAACAAAACCAAAATGTGAATCTCCTAAAGTACCATCCTTCTTTCAGGGAATGATTCAGTGGCTTAATGGGGTTAATTTGTATTGTCATGGGAAATCCTTTATCTACTGTATAGAGGCTTTCATTTCACATGAATGTGACAGATACTGTACTTACTGCACTGGAACTTAATTATTTGATAGCATAAGGAGCTAAAATCCCTACCTCTCAAGGAATATTCTTTGCATACTCTACATGGTAGATAGAAACTAGAGGATGGTTGGCCTAGATTTTCATTGCTTGAAATATCTTTGTATACTTTTCTAAGTTGTTTCGGTTTTATGCCAAAAATTTCAAAGCAGCTTTATTAAAGACTCTCCAAATACTATCAATAGTATGTGATTATTTTTTTGTTCTCTACCATTTTTCACATCTTTTCATCCTTTGAGATCCTTTCCTGCATAGTAAATGAATGTGACTGCTTAATTTAATTTCATTTTCCATAAAAGTCTTAAAATGCCTGATATTCTCCCCCTAATTACGACAAAACAATTCTTTCAAAAGTTTCGTTTCAGTGTGAACTTTTCCCTGACAGAATTTTGCAACAGTTCTTTTCACTGGTTTCCATTCCAGATGACTCTCGGTGCACGTTGTACTTTCTCTAACAGGCATGACATTTCTGTAGACCTGGTACAGCAGTGTAAAGCTATTTAATAGGAGAGGGAGACAAAATTTCAGGATCAGTGATACACATCAAAATACAAATAATGACTGAAAACTAATGTAGTGAAAATTTATGTGGGGCAAAGTTCACCTCTTACCACTAAATTTACTTTCCTTTGGAGATTCAGTGTTTGGGTTTTTTATGTCCTTTCACATAGTATATGTTAGTGAATTTCTGTTAGCATGTGTAGGTATAAGAGATGTAATTGCCTATCAAAATAAAAATTGATGTGAAATTACAAAAGCATGTGTTTGTTCTACTATATATTATATATTCAAAATATATCCTAGTCTATCTTTTTGCCATATTCACAAAAAAAAACCAAAACACCCCAATCTTACAACTGTTTTAGTGAGAAAAATTAATATATTTTTAAAATTGTTTTATTGGCATATATACCACTGAAATTGTTTGGAAGATAATTAAAAGTAATTTTTTTACGGCAGACTGTACTGGTAGCTATAAAAATATTTGCTCATCATTAAAGGTATGAAAATATCAGAGATTGCAAAGTACAGGCAGGTAGTGTGAATGCAAAGTACAGGCAGGTAGTGTGAATTGCTTTCCTCATCCTTTCTTGAATTAGAAATGATAAATAGTTAAAAACCAAAGCAAAGAGATTTTAAGCAAAAAAACAAATCCTTCTAGATTTCTGATTTTTATGTCACATTTCAGCATATCACAGTATGATGGATCATGGGCTAGTTGTTCACATTGTGTTATATCATTTCAGCTGTAGCGCAGCGTGATGTGGTGGAGTGTAATGTAACCTAACAAAGTACGATGCTGTGAATGATCACAGACTTTTCAGTGGACTTGTTCTACTGAAAATTGTCTGAATGAAATGCTTAGTAGTTTATGCTTTGTCGATAGACTACCTTGCTGTTGTCAGTTGTTTTTGCCTCTAGGCACATTCTTGGGGTCCATAGCCTACATCAAGTTTGTTTTCCATCTTCAGGTCTTTTGGGAACTGATACTGTGCAATAGTAACTAAGTGCAACCAGAGATCAATGTTTGCTTGATAGCCTCTTAGTACAGCTTTCTCATGGAAGCTTCTGGTTTTTATTTGCCATTTGGAATCTAAAAGGTCGCTGAAGCGTTCATTACATAGGCTTTGCATAAAGCGTACAAAAAGTTTAACAGCAGCGGAAATAGAGAATTAAATGGTACTCTTAAAACATGTATTGTGTTGCATAATTATTATTCCTCCCTATCAACGTTGTAGGTCAACACCAGCTAAAAGTTCAAATTTCTTTCAGTTCTTAAAAGGGGCCTATAAGAAAGATGGTGAGAGACTTTTTAGCAGGGCCTGTTGTGATAGGATGAGGGGTAATGGTTATAAACTAAAAGAGGGGAGATTCAGGCTGGATGTGAGGAAAAATTTTTTATGATGAAGGTGGTAAAACTGGCACAGGTTGCCCAGGGAGGTGGTGGATGCACCACCCTGGAGACATTCATGGCCAGGCTGGATGTGGTTCTGAGCAACCTGATCTAGCTGGAGATGTCCTGCTCATTGCAGGGTGGTTGGACTAGAAGACTGTTGAAGGTCCTTGCCAAACCAAACTATTCTATGATTCCACAATTGTATGATTCTTTCTGATGGAAATGAACTAACCCCAGAAATACCTGATCTTGTATCAGTAACCACTGAAAGTTTAGTTAAAATTACTTTCTTTGAACTCCAGATCTTTTGGTAACTGGATGTTGAAACATGAAGTGTAGTTTAGTAAGCTCTCCTCTTAACAAGTTGTTCTTCTCGCAGGGCTCCTAGTGATCAGTTAGAGGAGCACGGGTGAGGGTGATGTTTACCGGATACAGGGTAATGAAAATTGTCCTGTTGCCTCCTGTGTTTGAAAACCTTGGTTCCCCATGTTCCCAGACTTACTTTGCAGTGTCAGGCGAAAATCAAATGTGACTCCTTAGATTTTATTTCTGGGTTTTGCTTGAGGGCTGTCCCTGTATCCTGCCAGTTCTCTTTTCATCTGTATGAAGGTTTTGGGATATCGTATTGAAAACTGCTTCTGCCCTGGACATAAACTCTGGAGACATAGATTCTGAAAAATTGTGCATGCATGGGTGTTTCAACATTGAAACACTTCCATTTCAAAATTTCTCCCTTAAGGTGAAAAAAAATCTTGGTAGAGTTATACACAGGTTTATGGGAGTCCAGAAATTAATATATTTTCTAGCTTAGTTTTATGTTTCTGCTTCCTGCTTCACTGGAACTGTCCCATATGAAACCTTCTCCAATTGTTTTACTTTAGCCAGTGTTTTCTGCATGAGATGGTTATACTATATTTGTAGAAGAAATCAACCTAACATTCTAGTGTTAGTACCATTTTAATTCTAGCTTCATGCACGGCGGATTGCCTTACAGAGCCAAGTGTAATGCATTTCTAATTAAAAATCATAGAATCATAAAAAAAAACAAAGTAGTATGATGCTACCTCACAATGTTGTCAAATTGCTCATCATCTTATTTTCACAGCTCACCATGTTAAAACTGGGACCTGTGAAGTGGTGGCACTCCACAGATGTTGCAATAAGAACAAGATAGAAGAAAGATCACAGACAGTGAAGTGCTCCTGCTTCCCTGGGCAGGTAGCAGGTACCACCCGGGCAGCTCCTTCTTGTGTTGATGGTGCGACTATTTCTATTGCTTCCTTTTGCTGCATGTTCCTAGGGGGTTTTGCAGGCTTAATTTCATCAGTGAGAACCACTCCATTGCATTTAACTGTTTAAAATACGAGTAGAAATGCTGCTGCGTTTTGAAGGGCATGACCAAGGTGAATGAGAGGAAGATGGGAAAAATGAATTATTTGCTATTGCTCTGTGGAAATGCTAAGCAAAATTATTAGATGCTGGTGAAAGAAACTTCTTGAGATGCTAAATTTGATCTAACTAACAGAGTGCCCTAGGAGTTGTATGAAATTCACTTAATTAAAAGTGTTTATGCAAATCTATATGAGCATATAATTTTCATGTGTCTTACATTTTATTCATATATTTATTTTTATTATAGAGGAACAAACAAGCAAACAAACAGAGAACAGTTCTGGTTTTTAGTCTTTTTAGACCAGTGCTATTTTTCCTATTCACAGTGCAATATTAATGTTTTCTTAACAAATCTGGCATAGGCTCATATGCTTTATTTGGGAATATAGTAGCTGATTTTTCAGCAGGATGGATTCACTCATTACATGATATCTTTATGGTTGATGTGTTGCTAGCTGTCAGAGAAGCTGTAAATATGTCATCATTGGGGAATAATTTTAATAAGGCTATGCTAGACTATATAGTAGATCATGCAAAATCCAGTAACTCAAAAGAAGAGATTGTACTTCAAATTTTGAATCTGACTGAACAAATAAAAATGAGGGCTGAAAAAAAATTGCTTTGAAATTAGTTCCTGAACTGCACTAAATTAGAAAGAGAAACATAGTAAAGAGATTGACTTCAAAGCACATAGCACCTTGTGCAAATTGAGACCTAATTTCTTGTGAAGAGTCTGACTTGGCTGAAAAATCACAAACTAGCTGTTAGTCAATACATTTCTAGCATTTTCCTGAAAAATAAATGTTGCAACACAATGGCATTAAAGTGTTCATTTCAACAACATGCAGTTGTGTCTGTTTTCCTTTCTTTTAGCTTCAATAGTGGAGCAGAAATGGTGGTGCCACATGCAACCATGTCTTGAAGGGGAGGAATGTAAAGTTCTTCCAGATCGTAAGGGATGGAGCTGTTCATCTGGGAATAAAGTGAAAACAACTAGGGTAGGTATGATACCAACCTGACATGTTACCAACAAGTTAAAAAAAAGTGCACAGGAAATTTGGTGCACAAAGAAGACATGAGTTGAGAAGACTAAAGAAGTGTGGGAAGAGTCATACTGGGATTGGACTTCCTGGTCCCGCGCACTTTTCTCAGCCTACTTTGCAATTGCTTGACCATGGTAAGCAGTGTGCCAGACCTTCTCAGGTAAGCAGAGGAGACAGTAGATTTGACTCCTTCTTCAACTACCAGTAATGATCAAATGTGTTATAATATGATATGCATTTATCTTTGAAAACAGTTGTACAAAGTCTATACACCTTGCTAACTCTTCATTCACAGTATAGCAAACAAGTGCATTTTTATCAATAACATCGATTTACCATGTTTCTATATAGAAGCTTCTGAATATGGTAAGTATTTGGTGCATCACTACAGTATGATCTTCCAGTTCCTTCTGTCTTGTATGACTGAGATTTAAATTTTGACAGTTCCTTTTCTCCATTTGACACATTTTATATTATCAGTTCAAAACTACATTATCAGAAATACATGTAACATACACCATATACAATGCCTGAAAACAAAGGTGCTGTCATCTCTGCTTTTTAATGGGTAAGAGAAACAGGAGAATTACAAATTCTTCAGATAAGCATTAAGAACTCAAACTTCCTAAAACTATGGTGTTGTATCTCTATAGAATCATAGAATCATAGACTAGTTAGGGTTGGAAATGACCTTAAGGTCATCTAGTTCCAACCCCCCCCCCATGGGCAAGGACACCTCCCACTAAACCACGTCATCCAAGGCTCTGTCCAACCTGGCCTTGAACACTGCCAGGGATGAAGCATTCACAACTTCCCTGGGCAACCCATTCCAGTGCCTCACTTCCCTCACAGTAAAGAACTTCTTCCTTACACTCAATCTAAACTTCCACTATTTAAGTTTTAACCCGTTACCCCTTGTCCTATCACTACAGTCCCTAATGAAGAGTCCCTCCCCAGCAACCCTATAGCCCCCCTTCAGATACTGGAAGGCTGCTCTGAGGTCTCCACGCAGCCTTCTCTTCTCCAGCCTGAACAGCCCCAACTTCCTCAGCCTGTCTTCATACAGGAGGTGCTCCAGTCCCCTGATCATCCTCGTGGCCCTCCTCTGGACTTGTTCCAACAGTTCCATGTCCTTTTTATGTTGAGGACACCAGAACTGCACACAGTACTCCAGGTGAGGTCTCACGAGAGCAGAGTTAGAGGGGCAGGATCACCTTCTTCTGGTCATTCTCCTTTTGATGCAGCCCAGGGTAAGGTTGGCTTTCTGGGCTGCGAGCGCACACTGAAGCCGGCTCATATAGAGTCAGCAGAGTTCTTCATCAACATAGAACAGATTAAAATGCACTCTGAAGACATACACAGGTGTGTGTAAGCATGAACACCTGCACCCCATCACACATACTGATGACTGGTTTTGTTTTTAAGTATTTAGTAATTGTTTGCAGTGTCAGGCCATAATTAGCTGGTGTGGTATTTACCCTATGCAAGTGTTTGTGTGACCATGTTGTTTTATTGCAGTCTTTCTTGCAGAGGCACTAAATTTCTGGTACACTTTGGTTGTAGTGAAATGTAGTGTGTGCTGAATGGATTATATTCCTTCTATTCCACAGAGAGCTCTACATGTCTCATTTTCTGCATGTACAAGTCTTTAAATCATTTTGACATTCTTTGAAGGAAGGATACTTCCTAAATGTTTGATACACAGTTCCACTCCTGAATCCTTTCTCAGATGTGTTTCTTCTGAAGCTAACCTTGCTTGGATGCTGCCCTCACTTAACTTTGTACGTACCAATGGAAATCTGATTATACACACATAAAATGTGTGCACATGCATAATATAAACAAAAAAACTAGATAGAACTTAGAAATAGCAAAAAATAATGTGTGTGTGCTTTGAAACTTTTCCTGGCTAGTATTACATGGCACTATTACTGTTAAAGAATGCATGCCATTTTACATATATTGTGAGCATTTGACAAGGACTAAGTAAAAATTTGTGTCTGCATTACATTTGCATAGGATAAAAGAGGTCAAAAAAGGGGGAAACACCAATTAAAATCACCTTGAGGAGATTTCTTCCTAACATTTTGTCAGAAGATACGTTTTTCTGTATTGGTCAAGGTTACAAAGTTCTGTCCACTGTGAGGATGTGAGAAATCCACAGAAGCCCAAGGCTCTTGTTCTCAAGGGCTTACGCCTCTGTTGCAGACTCATAGGTCTGGCTCTTTTCAGGAGTTGGACTTTTCTTGTCCTCCATGGGTGGCAGCAATCCTCAGGACTCATCTCATGCATCTTTAAGAGTCATGCTAAGAAAAAGCCAGACCTTTTCTCTATTGGCCATCATACGTGCTGATGCAGTACAATGGCTACCATAACCTGCTTGCAGTCCTACCACCCACTAAAAGGAAAAAACTAATTGACTTAAAATCAAACTAATTGACTTAAAATCCCCAGTATTTGTCCTGCTTTCTTGTTTGTCCAGATACTGTACGTTGTGCCTTTCTTTGTTCATTTCCCACACAGCTGCGAAGCTCTTTTGAGACAATAGCAAACTGGAATTCAAATTTATGACTAAAAGTTGGTCTAAGCTGTTGAAATCAGGTAGCAGGTGAATGAAGGTTTCTGTCTTTCCAGGTTTTTCCAGATTTTAACAGACATAATTCAGGTGCCCAGAAAAATATAGATTGCTGTTGGAAATGTGAGTGCTTCTTTGTGTTAAGAGAATAGCATATTATAAAAAAACAGCTACTTTTCCCTAACATGTAGTAAGTACAATATTTTTGTAGCTCCTATTTCTGCTCCCCAAAGTCTATATATGTAAAAGGAAAAACTCTAAAGCGCTCTGTGGTTTCAAAACCACTTTTTTTTTTTTTTTGAGAAAAATGAAAAGAACTGTACAGAGAGACAGTATTAAGAAGTAAAGAATAATAAGTTTCTGATTTTCAAATGAAATACCCCATATGTTATTATCATGTATAATGTAAAAGCATAAAGAAACAAAAGGAACTGAGCAGCTTTGGTGATGCAAGTATATTGCAGAAGAGCCTTGTAAAGAATTTACTGAAAGGTCTAAGAAAGTCTATATTCAGCTCCAAGCATTTTCTGTAAGTTTGCATCCTTCATATGCAGCAAAAGTAACCTAATTAACCGCTGAAGTACTAGCCTGTCTTCTACAGGATACCAAGTTCAAAAGCAGCACCTACATTTCCACATCTTGGGCTGTTATTAATTAAGCATTATATTAGAGATAAAACCAGTGGAGGTAGGAGGTTTTTTGCTTGTCCACCTCTGTAAGCATATTTAACCACACTATTGTAAAAAATGACGATACCAAATTCTTAATACCTATGGTATCAGTCACTAAGCAAAACAGTCAAGTGAATAATGAGAGAAAACAAATTGGTTTTTAAAAATGTGGTCTACTTGATATTTTGCACTTTGTTCAGATATGGGGCTCTAATAAGGTAATGCATGAATAATGAATTAGAAATAGCATGAATGCTATGGTACTCAGAATTCAAATGTTAAGAAAACTCAGGTGGAAATTATTTGCCATCAGCATGTAAAACCAAATATTATGGAAGGATTAAACTGTTTTTCCTAATTTGTCTGCATATTAAAGGGAGAGGGCTGACATTAAGAGTTAACCATGGAAAAGGAATATAATAAGACTGAATAAGCTGAGTACCAAGTTAACTTGTGATGTTTTGGAATTGACTCTTTTGAGTCTATGTAGCCTGCAAGAGAGGGTAGGAGGAAAAAGGCAATGATAATTTAACTAAAACCAAAATTATTTTTACTTCAAATAAAGAAATGAGTGTTTGTGTTCCTGAGTATTATACCACAGCAAAACAGGATGTTCAGGAACACCTGAGGACAATTATGAAATGCTTATGTGCACAGGTGCAATTTACCAGGCACATTGTGGCATTCTCCTCTAGACTGAGAAACTGTTGTGAGAGGAAGCAATTGAAGTTTTTCTATACGGTTGGCTGCAATAATTTGATAAATAAACATAAAAATTTGACCATGCTGCCCTATCTAAATGATAACCTTATAAGGTGACCTTATAAGTGTCTATAAATATATAAAGGGGGAGTGTACAAAGAACAGTGGCAAACAACAATAGGACAAGGGATTATTAAACTTGAGAAGAAACTTCTTCTCAGTGAGGGTGACGGAACACTGGAACAGGCTGCCCAGGGAGGTTGTGGAGTCTCCTTCCCTGGAGACATTCAAAACCCGCCTGGACACATTCCTGTGTAACATTATCTAGGTGTTCCTGCTCCTGCAGGGGGATTGGACTAGATGATCTTTCGAGGTCCCTTCCAATCTCTAGCATACTGTGATACTGTGATACTGTGATAACAAAAAATATTAAAAAGGGGAAAATACAAAGAACTATTAATTTATTAACTTTTAATATATTTTTTCTTCTTACAACCTTTTTCTAATATAATTATTTTTATTGAAAAAGAAGCTGGCCACAGTCTTGGCTGGGTTTCCTTTCCTTTTTGCAAAATGAGGAAAATTTCTGTTTAAACCAGAGGAATTTTACCATCAGTTGGAAACTACAAAATATAGCAGCATTACATATAAAATTGACAATGACATTAAAAAAATGCTAAGTCTTTGTATTAAACAAAGGAGCCCTTTAGAAAGACTAGATGTCAACATTTTGCAGTCAGATAAGAGCTGAGGAGAAAGAATTTTTGTATTTCTACTATATATATAGTGTGTATTCCACACAGAAGGTCTCTGGATAGGGGTTTTTGGAGGGCAAATCCAGATGCCAGGCTTTACTTGTAGTAGAGGCTACCTTTGAGTAAGAGCAACAGAAGCTGCATGTGATCTGCATGAAAGTGCATTCTGCAATGTCTCCAGGGGGCCGTGTTTCCCAGGCATCCATCCTGGGCCTAGCTTAGAGCATGTCATGGCTCCTGGGCAGCCCATAA